TTTGTTTCAATTTATCATAAAAGCCAACGCCGGAAGTCAGCCAAGCTGCAGTTGAATGAACGATGGAGGCAGCGGAGTCTTAGACTTGAGGCGACTTAGCCGTAAGACGGCCGGCAAAAGTCCTTGGCAGCCAGCTGAGTGGCATTAGAGGGGATTCCGGCCATTCGCATCGAGGAGCGGCCTCTTTAAGGACTGCATAAATACGGCTCACAATTATCGCTGTCGCCAGCCCAGGCGGCTACACTTTAAAAAACGCCAAAGTACCATTGTCAAGTTCATCACCTTGCTAATTCCCTTGATAAAGCCGATCTAAATCTTATAATTAACCAATATGTAATACAAAATCTTGGGCATAAATATTTTCACATTGCAATTCCCAATATCTGTGTTAATCGCATGGACTTTTGATGGAGATCCCACTTTAAGAATGAAGTAGAGCTGGCTATTTCTCCCAAGTGCATCCAAATTACCGCCCAGCCTCAGCTAGTCCTGAGAACTGGTCCACCTCCAGGCCAGTTTGTCCTGGCATTCTACTCCTGGCAGTAATGAAAACAAATGCCCGGCCATTTGCAGCAACGGGGACAATTAAAGAGGCAAACATTAGGAGACTGCAATGGCAGCGAAACGTTAAGTAAATCTCGAGTGCATTGCCGCACTGGAGCGGCGAGGCTTATACTACAAATTTTCCCGGGCTTTTTCATATTTCACGCAATTGAGAAGGAGCCAAACTATTTGCAATATTTCAGGCTGCCACACGAACGAAATCCAGACATGAAAAATGCAATGCTTGCTTGGGCTTCCTTCAGTGGCTGAATGTGGGTGGAAAATCGGTGGAAATGCGGCAGAGTGGGTGGAATTGGGCGCAAGAGCGGGTGCCACAACAGTGATTGCGCTTTATTTGTGATAATAAAACACACCATCGCGCCGAGACGACGACGACGACAACGACAACGTCGGAGGGGTGGGGCTGAAAGTTGGGTGTAAATCGAACCGCGAAATTGCAACAAACTGCGCGTGCATTGGCCTCCACGAAAAAGGACGAACGGGCCAGGACGAAGAGGGTGGTTTCGGGGGAAAACAGAGCAGAAGTCAGGACCTCGCTGTCGGGGCATAAGAATATTTAAGCTGCAACAACGTTGCAGCAAATATTAAAGGAAAACACCAACGGCAACGGGGCGCAAAAGGATTTACTGCATATTTCATGTTCACAACGAACCAATTTTACGCTCTTCAAATCCTATTAGTCAATGGCCCTGTGGGGATGCATCACCACCACCACCTCCAGTGGCAGAGCCACCAGCAGCACCACCAGCATGCCACCAGGAATGCACGTGACGAAATACCTGTTAATATGCCCTATAAAGTGCATTAAAGTACATATTGAATGTTTCAACTTATAATTGCTAGGGAAAAGTGATTCAATTTACCAAGGAAACTATATACATTATAACTTATATTCTGATATATAACTAGTATTCTTTAGATAGCCAGCAAGAATAGTCATTCAAATAAAAAACTCAACCTTGCTTTATTTGCAGTGCAGCCAACAGGAGCTTCGGCGGAATCAAGCAGGACTTTCAGCCAAGGCAGCTGTTTCGGCAAAGGGTTGAGATCCACTGGGTGGTGTGGTGTGGGGTGGGGTGGAGTGGGTGGTGCAGGGTGATTGGTGATGCCTTGGCTCAGATACAGCGATTTACTGGCACACACTCGAGGATACGTATCTATAGATATATCTCTATGTACGTACGCCATATATATGCACATATATATAAGTAAGACTCTGGCCTGGGTCAGCTTAGTGTGTCTGGCATTTCCGCACGATTATGCATGTGAGTGGCGGTGTGGTGTTCCTCCCTGGCCTTTTGGGTGGGGATAAGCCCAGTGGACAGCCCGCAAATGCCCGCAAATGCCCGCCTGGAAACGGTTCTCATCAATCTAGTTACTTCGAGAGCATGAATTATGAAAAACGTGCAAAATGCAAACGGAAATTAAAATTTATAAAAAAAGGATGGAGCACACAAGGGGTTGGGGGATTGAGAACTTCCACTCGGTTAGACAAATGCGCTGTGCTGGTGGCCCCAGCACACGGAAATCAAAGAAAACACTAGCCGAAAGACCGAAATAACAAATGAAAAAGGCCAGGAGCAGCAGGAGCAGGAGGAGCAGCAGGAGCTGGGGAAATATGTTTGGGGAAAATTAAACATATTATCCCAGACTCCGCTCCATCCAGTTTTTTCCCGGCACAGCTGTTGAAAAACAAACCTCAAACCTTCGCCAGCATACAACATTTTTGTCAGGGTCCTGCTGCTGCTGTCCTTTATTAATTTAACAGGCCATGGCAGTGATGCGATGCGACTTTGACTACAACTTGAACTACAACGGGGAGGAGGAGTGGGTCGGATGGCAGGATGGGGGCAGCGCCAGCGACGGAGTTCAACAAGCCATAATACATATGAGGCAGCCGAGTCGCATGCATTTTTCATGAGACGCTGGCTTTTGTGCCCATCACAATCATCGGACGAGGCCCGAAAAGTCCCACTCCCACTCCCACCCGAGTCCCGACTTCCATTTTCCTGGCGACGCCAGCAATCATCATCGGCACTCGTCCTCATCCGCTCCAGTGGAGTCAGCTGGAGCACTTCTGCTCCTGCTCCTGCTCCTGCTCCTACTCCTGACTTCTCCACTCTTGGCTACACTTGAACTTACACTGACACGTTCGAGGTTCGAATAATGGGAGATGATGGGATTGGTGGAGGCCCTGCATATTTGTTTGGGAATATTCGAGTAGGAACCTGCCGGTGCATTTTCTTTCTTTTTTCTGTTTTTTCTGTTTTTCCGTTTTTCATTTGTAGATTTCACACAAATTGCTTTCATTTGTTTTAATGGGATGTGGAAGGATCTTCAAACTATGGGCCCAGATTAGAGCTGAGCGATTTCGTGTACATATATATCTTAATAGAAACGGAATAATTGGTGTGTTGATTAAGCGGTAAGATACTGTTATCTTTACTGTTATTAATTTAGTGAAATTTATCCTTTACTTATACGTTTTACTGCTGGTAATCCGTATCTAATAAAATAGAAAAATCTAGTCGGTTGAAGAGATGTCTGTATCTTTTCCTCTAGAAACGAAGAATCTTCATGGATCATTTACTGCCAGCAAACAAAGTGAGTGAAATGTATCCCCTTATTTATCTAAATAATCAGACGCCAATGAGCACTCTTTAAAGTCTCAGTTCCTACAACGCGCTGATATATTCAGCCACTATTTGTAACCTCGCAGACTCACTTCGCATCCTGTGATTTCCCCACGAGGAGCAGGAGTGGGTTTAGAGCAATCTCAGCTTGCAGGAAGCGTCAGAGCAATCATCAATCATCCGCCAGAGGCAACTCGGAGATCCGGTGGAGCACGTGGAAGGACAGCGACATTGATGGAAAACAACACCTGGATTTCGCCCTCCCAACAGTGCAGTCACTTTATCTTTTGGAAATGGCCTTCTAAGGATAAGGGAAGATCCTGATGATCCTGACTTATTTTCCAAATCAGCCCACCGAAATGTTAATCGATTCGCTGGTAGTCAGGTGTTCCAAATTACCCAGTGAAAATCGCATTTGTTGTACATTTCGGGAAAACTCTTTATTTCTATGTGAACTGAAGTTTAAAAATATTCGATTTTTCCATAACGTATAACGTATGCAAATTTCGCTACACTTTTTGCGACTATTTGCCAATTTCTTTTGCCAGTTTTGATTACAAGTGCAAAGCATTTGGGGCATATGCTCGCTAAATATTTGTTTTAAACATTTAATATTCTAGGGGTGTATACATAAAACTATACAAATGTGTGTAAATATATTTACTATGTTTGAATGGGTAATTCTGACACGCTTTCGCGCGTGCTCTATTTTCATAAATATTATTTATTTATTTATTTGCGCAATCAATTGCCGATTTTTTCTGTTTCTGTTTCTGTTTCTGTTCCATTTGCATTTGAAATGCTTTGGCCTTTTGCTTAAACACTTACGTATGTAAATTGAAATTTGTCGATGGCTGACCATCAGCGTTTATTGTAAATATTCGTATGTGGCTAAATGTAGGTATGTATATTTGCTGATGTATATTTGTATGCAGACCGTAGGTCATCAATATTCATAATAAATTAATAAATATATATATCCGTAAGCCTGATTGCCGAGCCAGGATCCTGCGATTCCGGCTCAGATCGGTATCCTTCAGCTCTCTCTCTCTCTCTCTCTCTCTTTCTCTTTCTGTGTTGTTTATTGTGATTTGTTGCACTCGACTGCCCACTTGGCCATGTTAAAGCTGTCGTCTGCTTGACCTGGCAGCGGGAAAAACCCGGATTCCCCTCCCCGAAGTGGGTCAGTAAGGCTGGTCATTGATTTACGGCCAGCTGGGGCAGTCCTAATTTAAATTATGATTGAGCTTACGCATAAATTAATTGTCGTGGACACCTAGCAGAGGCTGGGATCAATATCGAAATGCCTCTCGCTTGATTGGCAGTGAATGTTGTGGCCATTTCTATGGCATGCACTCGCCAATCAGTTTTTATTATGTATTATTTATTTTTGTTCAAATTAAAGCGAGCATGTCCGGCTGAATTTGACTTTGTATTTTACAGTTTACGCTTTAATTGCTGTCTCTGGTCCATTTCTGCCGATTGCTCTCATTGTTTTTGGCCATTTAACTGACCGTGCTGCTGTATGGGTACTCTATATATGTACGAGTATGTATGTATGTATGTTGTATATGCCTATGTATTGGTAGTGCAACAATTATATGTATATTAAACTGGCGCACAATTTTACACTTGACTGCCCGCTCAGAGTTTGTTGCTTTGTTTTCACTTTGCCTATATTTAATTTCACCTTTTTTCACTGTTTGCATTTGTTTGTTTGTTTGTCTATACTATTTTCACTATTGCTGGTTGCTGGTTGGCTGGTTGGCTGGTAGAGTCTCTGATGTGCTGCATTTAATTTAATTCCATTTAAATAAAATTATCATCGAAGCCTGGCAGGGTTAATTGCACGTTAACACACGCTAGAGGGACATCGAATAAAAATTAAATATTAAATGGCTGCCATAGCAGTCATAGAAGTTTGGGGCCTGGTCCTTGCGGCGGGACAAGTGCTTAAGCTAATTGCAGTTTCGCGACAAGCGGAACCGGAAACGGGCCTCGAAATGGCCGCAGATGATCCCTTGGCAAACGCACTCACGTAGCCGCTAAATGTTTCAATTTTCTGGCAGCTCAACGCGGCGCCGCAGACATTTAATAATAAACGCAGCTGCAGCGCCGAAATGGCAGAACTTTCCCGGATGTCTCCCTGGCTCTTTGGTGGTGCGGCCGATGGCAGGGAATTGGATTTGGGTGGCTGTGGGGGAATGACAAAGACAACCGCGAGCAAATGGCCATCGAACATTTTGATGCCTCTCGGCCAGAGAGCAAACAAAATTAAAAACGAATTTCAAATGCCTTTGCCAGGCTCAAAAATGCAAATCGCATTCTCCGTCACCGAACAGAGATGAGGTATGCTATTGTGCCTCAAAGAAATATAAATAGCGGGTATAGCAACTTATGGCTTAGAGAAATGCCAAGTTCTCCATATAGCAATGGATATTAAAAAACTTTATGCATCTATTGAAAATCTTTACACTGCCAAGTACATTTTGCGGTGAGCGTGCGGAAAAGTAAAAACACCAAAGGACTTCCCATCACTGTCGACACGCACACACGGCAAGAAAGAGAGGCCTTCGCACACCTACGGGGCTGCTGGACAAGTTGCATACTTTCGGGCGCAACATGCAATTAAAATGCAAAAAAGGCAAATAGCAGAGCGACCATTTCGGAGCGGCTTCAGGTCGATTCCGTTCCGTCCGCCAGCAGCTGCAGCTCGAAAAACCAAAGACCAAAATCGATGCAGTGCCAAGTTGAAACGGAAATGCCAGAGCCGAGCCCGAATCCGCATCCGCATCCGTCCGTTCGTCTGTCCGTGAGCATGGTGTCCGTGTGTCTGTGCAACGTCTGCGGTTAGAACAAGTTTGCCAGCCTGCATCTGTGTTTTTGCGTGTGCTGCCTGCGACTGTGTGTGCGTGCTAGCCAGTATGCAAGTATGCAAGTGTGCGAGTGTGCGAGTGTGCGAGTGTGCGTGTTGATTTAGCGTTAAGCTTGTTGGATTTTTGCGTTTTGTCAACATTCCCCCGGCCAGTTGTCGATGCATTCGCAGACTGCTGCTGCGGCGGCTTTCTCGGGCTGTTCAAATAATTGCCGATAGACTTCGGGGCAAGAGCATTTCGAGATTGATTCTGGTTGGGTGGGGCATGCACACAGAGAAAAACTGCTCATAGATTTTGATTTGTATTAGCGAACGGCTGCAGGATGATCAACTAATGGCTTTTGTATGAACAGCAAGAATCGGTGCCATCAGAATCTAAAGGTGGTTCAATCTTTCAACAAGTGTCAAAAACTGTGCAAGAATAGATGTAAATATATGTGGCGAAGAACTCAGTTAACAGTTGATTTCACGGATTTTACTTTGAGTTGGATTCTTTCTCTGTGCAGCATATACTGTTGGATCAATGGGGAGGTGAAGTGCTGCTTAGACTAGGCTTAGTGTTCATTAATGGTCAGGTGACTATACAGTGGGTGCGGGTGGCGATCTGGTTGGGTACCTCAATTAGTCCTATGGTAAGTTAAACTCAACACTTGCAGATATGATTCCTATAGCTATTTGTCCTCCTATGTGTTAGTTATAAATGCATTAATATTGCTTCGTTGGCCTGCTCTATTTCCTTTACTATTTAGCCTCATCCTTTAGATTATGATCCTGCCTTTCGTAACATTGTGTATCACCTGATTGAGAATAATGATTGATTCAACAATTTCTATAAGTGAGTATGTGTCTTCTGTATTCCTGGGTATTGGTACTAAGCAGCAGCGCTGCTTAGGGCCGAATCCTAGGGATGCTTCGTATAATTATTGAGCGGCATCTCGTTCACATGGGTGTGGGCCACCTCCTTGTTCCGGTCATGTATGGCCATTTCCAGCGGAGCACTGGCCGGCTTCTTCTGGGCCGCCTTCTGTGTCTTCAGCTGGAAGGTAATAGTCGGTTAATGCTATATTTCAGTATGCAGTAATCCCATATTTACTCTCTGTATGGTCTTTTCAAAGTCCTGATGCGGCTCTGGTCGTTTCATTGTGCTGCAGTTTCTCAGGCGTTCGTTGGTCTGTAAAGGGATGCACTACAAATTAATGTAACAATTTTGGGGTAATATATATTTTAATAAAACGCAGACCGTATCTACATTGTTTTCCTATGGGGCAACCAGTTCCTTTGGGCACCTGTTACTTTAGCTTTATGCATTTGCTTAATACAAGGTTGAATAAATTGTACTTTCCCGTCACTTTGCTGTGTTATTTCAGCTATTTTGTGTCCGCCCATGATTACTTCATTAACCCGAGTCGGACCGAACAAATCGACACCTCAAAACAACCGCAGCCAAAACTTCAAATGGAAATGGGTAATGCCAAATGAAAAGCGCCGGGCAGCCGAGAAAGTGTAATGAAAGGGCACCGCTGTTTGCTCCTGTCCCCGGAGCAGCATTTCCGCAACAGACCGCATAATGAGTGCCGTCGAGGAGCTGGAACACACGCTCCGGGTGACCTTTGACCGGAGGAAAGAGCACGGCGAGAGCAACGGCGACTGAATCACGAGCTGGGGGCCAAAGAAAGGTAATGAGTGCCAGAGGACACGCCGCACACACAAAAGAAGTTGTCCCGAACACGGAGCACAATTGTCGCCAGTGCTTAGCCCAAGTCATTTTCAAAATTGACCGCAAAACTCGGGAGGAACCGGAGTGGACAATCTGCAGCGTGGTCCTCGGCAGCGGCAAATTGTGCTTAAATATTAAATGAACAGCCGGCGAAGGAGCGGGCACACACAAAAGAAAAACCGGACAACAACCGTAAAACACGAAAAGTTATAAACTCTCGTCGGACTCCGGAGGACCCCAAGCCAAAATAAAAGGACACACAAAAAAAGGTAACCAAAAAACAGAAATCACCAGGAAGCTGGTAGCTCGATGGAAATGGAAATGGAAAAGTGCACGGCGACAGGACACACAAAACAAAACACTTTGGCACGCCTGAAATAATAAAAACAAATGCGAATGGAAAAAGGACAGTCGTGTGTAGGGAGCTCCACCCGATCCCCACCCACAACTTTCACATCCGGCATAACAACCGCAGCAAAGCCGAAATGCGCCAAGGTGCAAATGACCAGGTAACGTGGACTCCAGGAACGTGCCTCGTCCTCAGGTCCTTGACAACGCCCCCGACAATGCGATTGGCGCTCTCCTCCCCAGACTTGTCCTCTGCGATTTCAGCACTCGATGCACCCGGAAAAACTTGTAGCTCGTATGACAATAGTAAATCCCTGGTAGGAAAGTATTATCAATGCCAAAATACTTAGCTAACATAGCAGCGATTATAAAGATTTAAATACATAAGACTATAGTAAGTATTTAGAGGTATACTCAGGAATTTCTGCAAGTGCATTGCGCATCCTTCCGTGGATTTCCATCTGTATCTGGCACTTGCACTTGCGGGGACCCGCGCCCTCATCGGCAGTTCATATCTCGGAGTCTGCCATTTGCATCCGGCACATGTCCTTGCCGCAATGCCGCTCCCAGCATCCAGCATACTCCTCCCCGTGACCTCTGACCCCACAGCACGCTGTGCTCTTTTTGCTCCGGCTGTGTTGTCATTGTCTGGTCTCGACCACTCGCCCAGCGCAAGTCAACGCAATTAACGGTAATTGCCTTTTATCGGCTTAGCCTTGATAAAGTTTTGCACCGCCCCCAGGCTTTTCCGCCCCGCCCATTTTCCCAGAACGCGAACTTTCCTAGTTATTGCTGCTTTGGTTGTTGTTGCTGTTGCCGCGGCCATCGTTGTTATTTGTAGGTTTACGCGGTTTTTATATTTTAATTTAATTTTATAAGTAGTCCCAGTGCTCCGCCCCCTTTGCCCCCTTTGCCCCCTCCACGCCCCCAAACTTGTCCATGGCAAAAATTCGACATTAAACAGAGCAGGGAGGGGGGTCGGGAAAAGTTTTTGTTTTGAATGCGGCAAGGAAATGCTTTGAAGTTGGCTCCAAATTATGGAACTTTTCATGGCTTTCCAGAGAGATGAGGAGCGGAGGTAGGGGCATTCTCCCTATCCTGAATTAAACTGCGACCGAAATGGGAAAACTCGTTCCATTTTCATAATTCTTAAGCAACTTAGGAGGTGTCAAGTGCTCGGCTAATGAAAGTGTCACTGTCTATATGGCGTGGAACATAAGTATCGCATGGAAACCTAACTAGAAGTATTGTATAAAAGCTCTATTTCTTGTTTGCCACACAAGCAGTAGTTAAGATTGATCAAGATTTAAAGCAGAGGAAATTAAAAAATTCTTAGTACAGGTAGCAACAATAAAATACAAGAGAAATTCCATAGGGGCGACTGAGAACATTCCTATATTTATTTGGTTGATTTACCCAGATCCTTGCCAAACCCTTTTTCTATGACAACTAAAGTTTTACCATTGCCAACAATAAAACAAGCAAACAGGGAAGCCAGCCGAAAAGTAGGCAATAAAAATGGTTTCTTAACCGGAAATGACAAAATCACACACGAAATGCCTTCGATAAAAAAGGTCTACCCTTTCTGTAAGTGGCACCCAATTTGCGACCTCCGAACTCACCTTCAACTGCATTCCCTCCGTGGCGTTCAGCTCATCTCCACTTTGCCGGAGGCCCTGCAAAAACCTGTGGAAGACCGTTCTCCGCTGCTTGTGCTTGTTCCGGCCCTCTAACCAATCCAATCCAGATCCGGATCCCAATCCAAATGCGAGGCAGTCAGGCGAACAATCAAACCGAGAATCAAACAGACATTCATTTGATTAACCAGACAGTCAAAGTTTAAGCACAAACCAATTTAATTGAATTAAAAGCCATAAAAACCAAACAGCCGCCAAACTGTCTCTAACCACAGCTTCCTGCGCCCCTCCCCCGATTTTAGGCGCTCCTCACCTGTTGCCGAAAAGTCGTAAAAGAAATTGGTCCGTGCTCCCGGATAACTGTGCTGCATCCCGTTCAGATTCAGCGCCGACTTGGAGTCGATGGCGTTCCTGGCCATGCGATTGGCCAAATCATTCTGCGTGTAGCTGTAGATCTCGTTCTCCTCGCGATTCGATAGGCAACTGGAGGGCTGCACATGCACGGAAAATATACAACATGTATAGATCATAAAAATTAAGTTTATGGATTCTTAAAGACCTTTGCCATAAATATTCATAGGGTGAAAGCGATTTCATTGGTATTTCACATGAAGAAGGATTATCACAATAATGAAGTATTTTTTAATATACACCTTGCTCTTTCATGCTCTGCATTTAAATCGGAAATAAATTATACATATATCACTTCCGAAGGGAGCCCTGAGGAGCTGTGCAGTAAATTTCTTTCAGTGCATGCACACATAAAAGGGCACACACGAGCATACATAATATACGAAGCGGAACGGAACGGAAATGAATTAGAGTCTGATTAGCTGGAGGTCGTAAAAGCCGAGCGGCCGTAAAAGTCACGGTTCGCAGTCGGAGCATCTGCTTACCAAGTACTTGCCGGGCACATAGAGCGGCTGGCTGTGGCTGGTGGGCATCACCGAGGAGCTGACCAGGCCCGTTCCGCTGCAGCTGGGCCCAGCCATCCGGCGGGACAGCGTGTGCCCCGTGGAGATGCGCACGTGGCGCTCCTTCCACTTGGACAGGCGCACCTGCTCGATGGCGTCCAGCACGTCGTCGTAGGGCATGTTGATCTGTTTGCTGTAGTGGGCGGCCAGGCCCTCCAGGTAGCCTCGTTTGCCCTCCTGCATGGCGAGAAAAGTAGTTAAATTATAGCGATTTCGGACCAAATGAATATGGTTACTCAAGAAGGTACAGAATGAGCTATAGAAACAAATAGTATACCAATCCATTTTTGTCACTATTTTAAATCACTTATTGGAACACTATTTCCGGCGGTGCATTGGAAAGCTGCAGCTTGGGCAGGCAGATCCCAAGATCCCGAGAAGTCTTAACCGCAATCCACTAAGGCCAGGGTCAAAAGCATCCCCTCAAGGAGCAGGGAGATTGGAGCATGCTGGGGCAGGGCGGGCGCACAAGTGTTAATATCTTCCGGTAATTAGCGTGAGGCTGCCACTTAAATGTGTCCTGTTTGACATTCAAAGCGGTCACTGAAGCGGCAGCATCGTGCTCCTTTATGCTGCTCCATCTGCATCCGCATCCGCATCCGTATCTGCATCTTCTGCGTGTCTATGTCTACGTCGATGTCTGCACCTGCATCCTCGAGCCTGGCAGAACTAAATCCACTGAGCCCCAACCCCCACGGCCTGGCAAATTCATTTAGCGTCGCATTCATGTAATGCACATGCAAACATTTGTGCTGAAATGCAACTTGTCTGCAGCTGTCAGTCAGTTAGATACACAGATACTACTACTACTGCTGCAGATGTACTACATACCCCCATACATCCACACACCCACACACCCAGGGGGCTGTCTGTCTCATCAGCGCAAAGTGCAATTAGTTGAAGTTGGAGCCCGCGCGTCAACATGGCCCAGACGAAGGGGGCGTCGGGGGGGCCAGAAGCCAACAAGTCCTGTCTAACCAATCCCCTTTTCTCCCGCATGCATCCTGCAGATACCTTTCTTCGCCGCCATTCGGTATAATTCCATTTCGGGCTTAAAGTTGCATTTCAATTTGCGCCGCCTCGAAGACAACAATCGTAAATATTTAACCACATCTTGGCGCACTAACTATGCCAAGTACTGAGCCATCAACTTGGCGCCAAAAAAGGACCTCAACTGGCGCTAATTAAGATGCAAAGCAGCAAAACCTGATGCAGCCTATGACTAACTTTTCACACCTAGCCACGGAGCAGCCTGCACACTCTTTCATGGGAACAGGAACAGAAATTGAGTGCCAGTACACAGGAAGAAATAATAGCATCCTTTAAGGGACAGTACAAAATAAGCCAAGAACTCCTATTTCACGTCGAGTGATCTGTGATTGGGTTATTCCCTTTACATCAAACCTACGAGTGACAGAGTGCTGGAAAATTCGAAAAATGCCCCTTTTTTTTTCAGTTGAGTTACAAATTCAGCATCAGGAGCTGGAGCGGAAACCGGCGGATCGCGTGGCCTGCATATTAAGCAGCTGCATCGGAATCTGAAGAGTGTCTGGCAAACTGTCAGCACTCCATGCGTGCTCAATAGGCACATCTGCCACGCCCACTGGTGCAGAGCCGCCCCCAGGGAGGTGGCCTCAACTTTAAATGGAGCTGGCTTTGCATCTATTTGCATTGCATTGCATTGCATGGGATTGCATTTCTTTGGCGGAATGCAGGCGGCCCTGAACTAGTGACATGTTTTCAGCCAACAAAACGTGGACAAAGGCGCCAGAAGTCATCACCGCAAACGAGGCTGCCAAATGCCTTTCAATGGGCACTTCTTTCACTCGGGCACAGTGGGTTGCCATCTGCCTAAGACTCAGGCAAATTCTGATGAAAAGTGCGAGGCACGCAATTACTGCACAAAATGTTAAGGTCGCGTTATTTGTCTTCAACCGTACACGCATTTAAGTTGCAATTTGCTGGCCTGGCAGTTCGCAGCAATCATTTAATTGTAGCGCTGTCGCCCTACTCATTTCACCAAAAACGCCACCACAATGCTGGGCTTTATCTGTAAGCCAGCAGCAACCGAAAAATACGCGCCAAAATAAACAAAATTAACGCAATGCACAATCATTTCCCCAGCCGGCCACCAGCGTGCATATAATAAAATAAACAAAACAGCAGGGGGCCGATGGGCTGAAGTGGACACAGTGCACGTTGAGGTGACCCAGCGGGCCTCGTTGGTTGCCCACTCGGTTTAACTAAATTAAAATCGTGTTAATTTCACATTAGAGCGCACACAGCGCCGGCTCCCCGAACGACTGTCACACGTTGCATCCTTTGCCCACCACCGCCCACTACGCCCACTGCCACGCCCCCTGGGGGGGCAGGATGCAAATTGCCAGGACCCTAAACAAAACGACCATAGATAAGAGCAATCGCTGGCTGGTCGCTCGCCACAGTTAGTTGGGATAGTTGGCCGAGGCGGGCGTAATGCTTAATTTAATAAAGTACATAAGAGGAACAGGGTTTTATAACTAAGGGAACAGTGCTAACAATTTAAAGTAGCTTTTAACTATATATATGTATATGATAGTAAGGAGAGGTTGGGCTTACGGGCGTGGAGTACGGATGGGCGGTGAGGCGTATGCCATCCGCCTCGAGGTGGCGCTTCATGACCGCCTCCAGCTCCTTCATGGTCACCGGCGTATCACAGTCGGAGGCCAGGATCTCGTTGCTGCTGCTCAGTGCCTTGGGATCGTTGATCAGGACATAGACAATGGCGGCGCCCTTCTCCCGCAGCATGCGCACACTCTTCAGGAGCTTGCCGCGATGCGAGGGGTTGTCGACGCCGATGGCATCCAGATCGATCTCGCCAATCTGCTTGCAGATCTCCAGCTCGTCGTAGCCGTTCTCCAGGAAGCTGTCGCCGTAGTGGGCCAGTCCAATGGTGCGCAGCCACTCGCAGACGATGTTGTGGTGCGGCATGCTGCTGCTGGCATTCGCATTCGCGTATCACGTGGCTCCGCTGGGAAACGGAAGGTCCAGCGGTGCGAAGGAGACCTTGTTCAGGCGCTGCGGCTTCGTCGAGGTGCTGGCTCCACTGGCACCACTAGCTCCACTAGCTCCACTGGATCCAGCGCCAGTCGCCAGCGGCTCCGGCTGGTTGCAGCTGCTGGCGGCACTGCTGCAGCTGCTGCTGGAGGTTGCCTTCATAGCAGCGGCAACAGGAGCAAGTTGCGCAGTGTACTCTGCGGGTAGAAATAAGTTGGGGAAAGGCATACTTTAATGATTTTCATATAACTGAAGGCCTACGCATAGACCTTAAAACCATCTAATGCACCCATTTCATCTCTACTAGAGGCTTAAAAACATAAACATTAAATTAAATTGAGTTTGGCTTCGTGGGGGCAACGAACGTTATGGTTTTCATGTGCCAGGCTCAACAGTGCGTATGCGTAATAGGGTTTCGGCTACTTCCGGTGGCCATTTAACTCGCCTGACAGGTGTAGGTCATGGGGGGCACTGCCTAGATGCGGATCTGGATCTGGCTGGGGGCAGTGGGCAGGGGACTGGCATATCAATTTGCGTTAATAGCAGTCATTGTTCACTCGCAATCAAGGGAATGGGCTAGGGCCTCTGCGAGTCCTGCCTATAAGCACTTAATGATAATGCTCGGTCATGTACACGAGCCACTAAAACACTTGAATATGCTTAGCCCCGGAAGCCACTTGCATATGAATAAGCCACTTAAAATGACAGATGGACCAGTGCAGACGCAGGAGGCGCAGGAGGCGGAGGAGGCGGGGCCGGATGGCAGCGCCCTCGGGTCACAGACAAAAGACAAAAGGAAGTCGTCTAACTATTTGTGCAATGCCCATTCCACGACAACGACCCCGATCCTTGTTTGTTGTCTCCGGGTGTGTTTGTGTGTATGCTTGGCTGTAAAAATATTTTTGCTTGTCGAAAAATGAAATGCAAATGTCTGCTGGCAGCAGAAATACTGTCCAGCCGCTTCCTCCTCGTCAGGTGGCTGGTGGCTGGTGACTGGTGGCTGGTGACTGGTGGCCGGCAATCTACCCCGAAAAGTGTGGTCCAAGGAGGCAGACAATGGCATAATGAAAATAATGTGGCTACAGTTTGGCCACACAGGGAACTGCAGCTGTCATTGAGTGTGCTAGATTGAAGTGGTCGGGTCCATTCCATTTTCCCAGCCCGAATCTCAGCCAGCCCGTGGATTTATGTACAAGAACTTCGATCCGAAGTGAGAGCCAACTAATTGACTCAGCTTGACTTGGCCTCGCATACCTTTCATATTGATAAACACATGCTAGACAAGATGCCAGAATGCCGGACAATGAGGCGGATGAGTGACCTCCGGCTGAGGGGATGAAAGTGATGAGGCTTTTAGCAGATGAAAGGCACGAAATCGCTGGAAGGGTCCGAGTGGAACTTGAGCATCAGGAATCCGATAGGCCAGGCAATTCAGAGCTATTTTAATATTGAAATGATTTAAGATCTGAATTGATAAGGCAACAGCTTGGGTCGGGGCTCAAAGAAAAACTTAAACTCAAGAGTCAAGAGTCAAGAGTCAAGGCATTTAAACATGCACTTTAGTGGCCTGAAGTAAAAATATCTGTACTGTTTGATTTTATTCAATTGGTATTCACCGGCTCTTTGCTAAAATGCTTTGATTATACGATAACAGGTTTCTAGATAAAATTGCAAATCTATAATTCAGTTATGAAACGAGCCATCTGAACTATTCCCACCCCTCTTGCCAAGGCTGCTGAGCTGCTGAGCTGCTGAGCTGCTGCAACTGCAAATATTTAACCACATGCCCACCCGCATCTCCGACTCCCGGAAAACTTTCGGCACATTGTTAGCATAATAAACACATAATAAAATGCAAAAGGCAAAATCGGTAAAGTCAATTTTGAAGATGTTTTGCATACGCAGCCGTTGCAAACAGCTTGCCAAAGTTTATTTTCTAGCTAGCCGAACAAACACCATTCCAGCCCAAAGCCCACAGCCCAAAAAGGTTGCAATTCTCGGTTAATGAATGTCAGAGGCACTCCGTACATGGCCATATACTGCCATGCCATATACTTCACATGGAAGATGTCATATACTCGTATAAGATGCTACGGGTCGAGTGTAATTACATGAAAGCCGGACTAAATTTGCATACGCCGCAAACTGACTACGATAAGCATCTTAAATTTTCAATTTCATTGTTTATTAAGTGCCAAATAATTGTTTGTGTGCAGTGAGCCGAATTTGTGATCAAAGGTGTTCGGCCAGCCCACGTTTTCCGTTTGTAATTTGCAATTTCCTGCACTGCAACTTCACCGCCCTCGAGTGGATATATCCTCCGGTATAATTATGAGAAATTTCTGAGCCCCAAAGCGTGTGAAAATACGCAAATGCATCGCGCTCGCCCGATTACCACCATTGATTATCGCCTTAGCTTTCCAATTACGAAACTTTCCAAGGGGATTAGGTCCAACTCCTGTGCCATTCACTGAGCTGCTGAAGTGCTGAAATTAAACCGAAACAGAAGCAGCACCCACATACTCAGATCAACACAAGCCAGCGCGACAATGGCCCCATTGTTTATGGCTTTCACACAAATTTTTATGCAAAATTTCAGCCAGAGTAATTAATTTTAATATGAAAGCCAAACATGCGCGCTCTAACAATTGTCATATAATTTGCCGTCTAGACAGTGGAAATTTAGTATTTTCAATTAACTGCAATGGCAACTGAGCGCTGCAGCCTGCAACCTGCCACCCCTCACCCCTCACCCCTTAACCCATGCCAACCCTTAACACCCCACAGCAACAATGCACACAAAAAGGCGCACACTGATTATTTCCACGACGGGGCAGGAAGGGTGGAAACAGCGAGCTGGAGCTCTTCTGGCTGACTGCCATGTTGACATTGTTGGCTCGAAAAAATAGAAAATATACGCAAAAATAAAAACAGCAAAATCCGGAGCAAGAAAGTATGCTTGCACTTCGATGCGACTGTTCAGCGCACTTGTGTGTTAATGAATTTAAGATATCAGTGAATAGAGAGTTGAATACTTTTAAATTGAAGCCTGCTTTCGGTACTTTACGCCATTTTAATCAAGGAATTACATTTTTTTAATAATTTACCCACCACTAAGATCGCAAACCTTGAGTAAACATGTAAAGCCCATTACGACACCCAAACTCACGAGTGGCAAGAGTAAGTTTTAGATCTACTGGATGCCAGTATACCCCTAGGCTGGACGAGGACCCACTGTGAAGCGAAAATCAGCCCACGGGTGAGTTCAGTGGGAAAACAGCGAATACGAGCGGGGATGCCCCTGCCAGCAGCCTTGAATCCGGAATAGCAGGCGTACAGCAGCCGACAGAGCGACGTCCTCAAGGTTGGCAACAAAATTGCACTGCCAGTCACTCGAAGTGGGGGGATTCAAATGAGAGGGGGAAGGGGGCTGCAGCCTCGTTCGTGGGCCAATGTCAGTGCACCTGGCGCTGCACTTGCCCCACGGCATTCACTTCGAGTCGCAACTCAACTCGCCTCAACTCATTTCAACTCGAGTGACTCCCTTTCCCAGCCAACAGTGCGTATTGCGGTGGCCGGGAAGCCTTAAAAAAGGGGGGATGGCCAGAAATGGTCGGCTTCGATTTCACATTTTTTTTTGCCATTTTTGGTCCCCTGCTCTCGCACTCGTTTTTTAATTGAAATTTCATTTGCCCCGTTTGTTTGCACATAATTACGATTCGGGGGACTTTTGTCGCTTGTTATGCAAATTTAAGACCAGCTCATCCCGCGTTGAATGAGTGTGAATAGACGGAGATGCATGAATGCCCGGCTGAAGCTGCATTCTCGTATTTTTCATATTTATTCTTTTCGGCTTCGCTGCGGTTCCATTGTGGTGGGAATGGCCCAAAAAGAAATGGTTTTAGCCAGGCTGAAAGAAGACAGCCTCCAGGCAGCTGCTAGTTTCTCGATGGCTTAAAAATGAGCACGAAACTGAAATCCTTTCAAATAGTGAACTCGATGGGAATGAGCCAAGAAGCTTGAAAAGTTTTCCAAATGCATCCATAAACTGTGCTACTTGCAACGTTGTAAGTAGCAAAAATGTCTCAAATTACAGCGAATTTCAATGAAGCGAAGACAAATTGGAGTAAGTAAGTTCTTTGGTTGCTAAAGGCTTTTCTCTGCAAAAGTCGTTTAGAATTTAGTAATAAGCAAACATACTACACTATCACCAAGACTGAAGGGCTGCCTAATTCAAACTAATCACCTGTTTAAGCCATGCCCCAAATAATAGTTATCAATCTGATATGAAGCCGTGGATTAGTGTGAGCCCCAAACTAACTTCCCCACAATGCTGCGGAAATCCGGCAGTTAAACCCATTGACTGCTGATTGAGTAATCAACGAATCGAGACCCGTAATTCCGCAATTTACTTACATTGTGAGCCGTAATCAATAGGTGAGTCCGGTGTGTCCTGTTCGGGGCTCTCAAGACATGCAAACACTCGCGCACACTCACAGCCAAGTTAAGCGGTTCGGAAGTCGCTATATAATCAAATGCTGCCGCACTTCATTTGCCGGGGATTGGCCAACTGCTCCGTGCCCGCAAGGACATAATCCCAATGCCGCCCACTTGTTGGGGACTCGACCACCGGACCAGTTCTACACGGAGGGAAACTAATCGAATTGTATTGGCGATCAGGCATTCAATCCGTTTTCGATTCTTTAGTTTCATTCATAAAAAGCAACAATTTTAAAACTTTCTAGCTAATTGATTGGTGGAAATGTAATGTAATATTATACTGCAAAATCTAAATATCCTTTTCAAGCTTTTTAGAACAAATGAATTGCCAGAGGAATTTCGACCAGTGAGGAAAACAAAATTATGAAAATTTAACGATTTTTTGGCATTATCTTTAGTGATTTTTATTGATGTGAAAACCTACCGAACAGGGTGTTTTATTTAGCTTTCTCTCGGTGTAGAGCCTGCCGATCACACACGCACAATTGCCGTTCGTTTGATTTACGACATCGGATTTGAAATTCCCGGCCGTAGCCTGCGCTTTTTCTTCTAACTTTTTTCGGCCAGGACAATGGCTGGCAAAAACGCGCGCAAAAACGGTCACCGGAAGTGGGGTCGCCAACCGGAAACGCGGAATGGTGCAAAATGGCGGGCAAATTACGCGACAAGCGGCAGTTTGCTGCCCGGCTGATTGCAAGGCGTACTCGGTGAGACGGCCAAAACGAATGGGCAAACTGCAACCGTGCACCGTGCAACCGGAGCGGAGTAAAAAACGCAACCAAAGTATGCAAAGCACGCGAGCGTACTGTGGCACCATCAGCAGAAACACGGCCTCCTGGGCCTGGGTTCTTGCCACTGCCTCAGTTGCCTCGCTTGCCTCGCTTGCCTCTGTTGGCTATGTTGCCTCTGCCGCTACCGCTGCTGCTCCCAGAGAATCGAGAGTCGGGCAGAGCAGAGCAGGGCAGAGCAGAAAACTGAACTGAACTCCTCGAGGAAGGCCGCGCCGTGAACATTAACGCTGGCGTTAACGCTAACGGTCGGATTACGGATGGGGGCAATCGGGGGTCTGGCTGGTTGCAAGTGCCCCGTTGTAAGCGATACCCAGGAGGGAGGTTCTTTTTTCTGCCCAGCTTTTTATTTAACTCTTTTTTTTGCGGGCCAGCCGTGCATTCTCTTTTTATTCTCGCTGCAGCCACCCCGAAGCTGAGCTGAGGCTTCAGCCTAAGAGCGAAAAGTAGGTGAGGCACATGAGCTCGGCGGCGGGCAGGATGGGCCGCCGGATGAGGGGCAGGATGCGGGGCTCGGAGAGTGTTTACCCCGACTTAGACGGCTCTGACAGGCCGTCTGGGCTCCAAAGCATGAATGAGTTGTGGAAGCAAATGAAGTGCCACGCCAGCCGACGTTGCAACCCGCAGCGTATTTAAATATAGCAGAGAACAAGCAGCACCAGCGGTGGCAGTGGCAGCGGCAGCGGCAGCAGTGCAACGCATGCAGCAGCAACGGAAAAGCAGCAGCTGCGCAGCCAGCAGAGACCAACGCTGTCATGCACTTGGAGAAAAGTGTGTGTGTGCTCAATACATAGCACTATTCCATTGCTTTCAGCAACACTTTTAAAGCTTTACCCAAATTTGGCGTCAAGTCTTCGCAAACAGTTGCATTAAATGCCTAAAAGTGGCTTGTCCCGCTTAAATTTAATACAAATTTATAAAAAAAAATTAAAATAAATATTTTTGCTTTATTCGAGCTAGATAGGTTATATTTTTCAGTGCACAGGACAGGCGGCAGACGCTCACAGGCTATCATGTCACCGCTGGCGTCCTCATTTGTCTGTTTGCCCGTGTGCTTGTGCAACTTTTTATTTTTTATTTTTAATTTCTTTTTTCCAGCGAGACTGGCAGTCAGTCAGTTTAGTTGCTAGCGAGCCTGGGCATATTTTGTGCTTCATCATCTCGGCCGCTGATGATGACACATGCGAATGACTGCAAACAAATCCAGGGAGCGCCAGTTGCTGCAGTTGCTGCTGCTGCTGCTGCTGCTGATGTAGCTGTTGCCACTGCAGACTGATATTGCTGCTGTCATCAGCAACATTTCGCTGTGGCAGCTTCGCTGGAACTTTCCCGTGGAGCGGGCGACTGTTTGCTGATGCAGCCAAATGCGAAAAGCGGGTGGCGCCACACTTGCCGACCTTGGTGGGTGGGTCTAGACCCGGGAACAGAACTCCCACGGTGGCTTAATCAACGAATTACCCCGGATTGGAGTGTTAATAATGCAAATCAATAGATGGCAATGCGGACTAATCGGATTGGTTGCAGAACCAATAAAAAATGTGAAACATGGCAAATCCGTGTTTATTTGATAAGGCCATTTTGGAAAAGGGCATTTCCAATTTTCCTACTCTTTAAATGCACACTAAGGCAGATAATGAAAATGAAAATAATAAAGGGCTTTATGTGGATTTAAAAGAAGGAAATCAAAGGAAAATTAAAGAACAAAGCCCCAAGAAGTTGTGATGGTCATGGATCTGGGGTCTGGCTGAGATTCCGCATAGACGGATTCCCGGGCGGAAGGCATGGCCCGCTCATGGGCTGTCCGGGGCACGTACTTGCGGTGGCTGCCACATAATGAGAGCTGGCTGCGGCACAAACGTGCCATAAACTGTGGCACGCCCCCTTGGCCCTCCTGCTCCCCGCAGACCAGCCTCCACCGATGAATATTCCATGTGGCATGCGTTGACAAAGCATTCGGGCCTCGTCATCTGGAGCATGAGGGCATATCATATAGTCAAAGTTTTTCCTTTTCCCACACACACACACACACACATTGTGTGCTCCGCACATGGGGCATATGCATATTCGTACACACACATACTCCTCGTATATCAGGATGGACCGACGAGGAGCAGAAGCTCCAAGCTGGGGCACAACTTTTATCGGTCTTGTTTTGATAGTTGACTCGCTGCTAAGCCTATTAAGGCGCTTGAGTCGTCCAACAAGCCAAAGGCTTTTGCACCGACCGGGTTTCCACAGTCGATCCATCCAAAACCCTACCACCACCCACCGCACCAAAAACCCTTTGGTTTCTGTATATTTTTTTTGTTTCTTTCAGTTTCTGTTGTCTCCCTAGGAAATGATAGGCCCCACAAGGGAGCTAAGCTCTCGTTGGCGAGTCTGTTGCTGTGGCTCCTGTTAATTATGGGTGGTTGGGGCTGGTCTGGGGTGTGGGTGGTGCAGGTGGCTGCTCGTTAGTGACGTCCTCGAAGGGCCTCATCTCTCCACCATCGCTCTGTCTCTTTCTCTGTCCGCTCTGGCTGCAATTTTCTCAAGAAGCCGCACTTAAATGGCTTCCTATGCGGGTGCAAACAAAAGCTGCCAAACACACACACACACACATGTGTCTACGCCAGCTTTTGAATGTGTGTGTCTGCTACAGTTACAAGCAAAAAAAAATTGAAAAAAAATAAGGCAAAAATCGCTGCTTGAAGTGGTGGTTGAATTTTTACTTTTTTTCTTATTTTTGTCTTGCAACGTGCAAATGGAAAAAGAGTTGCGAATTTGTACTCCTGCTGTTCTGCGCAACACATGCGCCATTATGCAATTGATTTTTCTTCGTTTTTTGCGAGTTTTCCAACGCTGTTGCATTGTTTGTATGCCGCTGACTTTTCTCCCCAGCTTGCTTTCATTATTTTTACGTTTTTCGGTTCGCTTGCCTGTCAAAGGTCATTCAACTTGGCTGCTACTAATTTGCCGCTGCCCTTCCAGGTGCGCCTAATTAAGCATATCCCCTGCTAGCAACTAAAGCCCAAAAGTCGGCAACAAAGCGGCTAGCAAACTCACACACGCACATGTAGCTACCGTAGGTGTCTAAAGTGACGCTTTATGCGGCGCAAAATAAACTGGAAAAACACGCACACAAACAGGCGGAAGAAGTGCACGTGCTCTATCTCCTCGGAGGTTGCATGCAACTTGGCTGCGGCTCATAACCCTGAATGCATGACTGCAATGAATGCAAACAGGCTGCAGAGACAGACAACTCACAGACGCACCCACACTCCACTGGAGAGGCCACTACGCCGGCCCAACCACCCGCCACCACCCACCCAACAGCCCCCTCCCACTCAAGCTCCCCCTGCTCTTAAGACTTAACTGCAGCAGATTGCGTATACGCAGCATTGGCCACTTGCATTATGAGCACCTCCTGCTCTCGTGTCAGCGTGATAAGCCACTGCATCTTGGCATCTGCATTTCCATCTGCGACAGCTGCCCGCGTTTTGTGCGTTCTTACACTGCGTTCCTGTTTTGAAGAAAAAAGTTAGGAACTATATTAATATTCTGTTAGGGGAAGATACAAAGCACTATGGTGCCACAAGCTCTAACGGCACTTAGCCAGTGTAGGCATATGAGTTATGATACCATTAGGGAAAAATTGTAAAGACTCCTGTGAGGCAATTACTTGAGAGCCTTTTTTTCGAGTGTACCACCCCCTGCAGGACCGAAGGCCCCGCTGATCTCGGCTGCATTCATGGCGAATGTCAAGTGTTGGCAGTTGGCTTGCCAAGATGTTTTGTTTGACGCCGGAACAACGCCAGCAACATTTGCTGTGTCAAGTGGCAGTCAAGTGCATTTAACAGGGCGCGTCTTTGATTGACGTTAGCCCGCGTTCGGGAACTATGGCAAAGGAAGCAGGAAGCAGGACGAAGGACGAAGGACGAGGGCAATCGCCAAGGAATTTAGCTGCAGGCGACTGCGTGCAATTGTCAAACGGAAACGCAGAAACAAAGACGACGTCAGCACAATCCGAATATCAAAGTCTCCCTTTAATGCTCAAGAGCTGCAACATTTCTGGTGCGTGTCAATCGCTTAATCCGGCCCATTTGGATTGTATTGGGTTGCAGCATCGGAGCCAGGAAATTAACTGGTTTGCTGCATATTTATGAATACGTCCGCTTAGCCCAATTATGTGCGAAACGAGAAAGATTTGGGCTGAATTCGACCATCTATTTTGTATAATGTTACAACACAGCACGTCGAAGATGCAGTTTCTCTTCTCCTTTAATGACCGCATACGTATTTCAAGCAATCAGCGTTCCATTATAAAGTACCTCCCTTACCATAAACAATCAAGTTGTATGTGAATGGTGTGCATAAGGTGATTTACTCTTATAAAAACTTGATAAACTTCAACGTAGCGCACCCATAAAAAGATGAAACTAGGTTTATGCGAGTTTTATAGTTTGCGAATCATTTGCAAATCGGCAAACAGATCTAAATACTTACGTATTTGAGCCAAGATCCAACTTTTACTTTTCGCCGAACTTGAAACATAACACGCTCCGCAGAAAGCGCAGGCAGATGATGCGAAGCAAATTAAATTACATTAAACTTGGCCGAAGCGAAACACGCTGAAGTGGCTAAGTGCGGAAAGGCCGAAACCATTTTCACGGCCCTCAGCACTATTAAAAAAATTGTGGATTAGAAATTACCATAAAACCCTTTAGCAACAAAGTTGGGGAAAGGCAACAATTTTATATTATAACATCTTTTTAAAATGACAAGATATTTGAATCTAGCCCAATGTTTTTCTTTACTGCCCTAAGTTTTTATAAAACTTTTTCGAGTGCGCGGGGAAATGCAAGTAGACAATGAAGAGCAGGCAGAGCAGCGCAGCTGGCACTTTAATTACGACAAAATTTGCGTGAGTGATAGTCAAATGATGCCGCAAGCATCATTCGAGTGTTGTGGCGGGGAAAAGGCAAACAAATAAGAGATAAACGCCACAAAGACAATAAATGGAAAAGAAATTATGAAATGTGTTCGAACTGTTATAACGAATCACTGCCAGCTGGCAGAAGCGTAGGCAGCCGGAGGCACACCATCTGAAGTTAGGCCAAAACCAGTTTCCAGAGTGATCTTCTGGCGGGTTGGGTTGTCTTCGCGGGTATCAGCCCTGCTGAAGTTCATTTAGCTGCCAGCCGGCGAACAGTTAACAACGCGGCGAGTGTCCAACTAGAAAGCGAGCAAGATGCCCTCCATATGGCTGTTGATCTCGACGGTGGGTTAACCAGTGCCGCTGAGCCGAGTGATATGCCTCTAAGCTGGATCTATTTTTTAACCCACAGCTGGCCTTGGTTAGCGGTCAGGACTATCATTACCACCGCCCAGCCACTCCTTTCGTGGCGGATGCCTTCCATCCGCACCAGCAAACAACAGCCACCAAGTTTGTGGTGCAGACACTGGGTCAGACGTACGGCCTGGAAACCCAAAGGGCACCGGCCATCTATGAGGATCATCAGACGCAGATTGTACAGGTTTTACAGCAGCGACAGCTGCCGCAGGTCCAGCAATTTCACACTTCCAGCTACCAGAATCCCCTGCTGGTCAGCACCAACTACCAGGCTGGCACCGTGTCCTCGGCACCTTCAGCTCCCGCTGCTCGTGCCCAGCCCCTTAGCACCTATGGACCACCCCACCTGCAGCACCAATCACAGCCCCTGCTACCTCCACCACCGGCTTCCGAATACTTACCCCAGCAGCAGCAGCAGCCACCTCCAAGCTATCTGCCACCCCAGCAGCCTCCCCAGAAATTGTTCTTCGCCAACCCGCTTCCGTATGCCTCTGTGACGACCGGCTCTGGGCAAACGGTGCTCGATGCAGGACATGGATCTGGTGTGGCGCCCAATGAGGTGCAGACTCAGCTATTGCAGGCCACTGGATCCTCGCCACCCCAAGTTCAAGTGGGCGACCAGTTGGGTCAGTCGCAGACCGCCGCCCTGGATGGCTATGACTACAAGCAGAGCACGCCGGGAGACAACCGAGAGTACCAGAGGTTCGTGACCAGCTGCCCGGGCGGTGGAGGCTGCCAGAAGAAGGAGCTCGGTCCCAACGATGTGGATGAGAGCCACAAGCGGGTGCTGCAGACGGTGCGAGCCAGTACGCAACCGCGGGTGGAGGGCTGCTACAAGACCCAGGTGATCTATGTGCCAGTGGGAGCTGCTGTCAATAAGGAGGGTCAGCTGCGACCAAAGAGTCGGCGAACTTTCGAGCGCAAGGAGCAGGTGCTCACCAGATACCCTTACAACTAAATGCCCTCTCTAATCACTCACCGAATTTCACACTAAATGTATTAGTTGTTATGCCTAGTTGTCAGTAGTTTGTTGTTTGTTGTAAATAAATCGATCACTGTTTAAAATTAAAATCACACATGCTAACCGTTTTTGGTCCTGGTGACTAATTAAACAAGCCCGAAAGTATATGGCAAATCTACTGGAATCAGCAAATCTGTTAATCGAATAACCTGTTGCATGTTGCTCAATCAGCTGGTGATGGTGATATTTTATTGTGGGATTGCACATGGTCGAGCTATCAAATGCTAATTAGCTAAATTGATTACACAGCGAGAAATCTATGCCACGCCATAGATGCAAATACTTGGTCGTAAACAGGAATCTAAAATGGCCAAAGAGAAAACAAGTCCATCGATATAGGACTTCATTAAAATTGGGCCATAATTATAGATTCGCACAAATATTTCGGTATTAATTAAAATTCAATTTACATATATTATATACATACTTTAATTTTTTTTTTTTTTTTTTTTGTAGCGTGCGTTTATTTAAGATCTGTCCGAATACAATTAAATGGTTTGGCGGGTGACTTAACTTAAGGGATACTACATGTATTTGGGGCGGGTTTAATGACGCGTACTATTTGATGCATATGATAATAACTAATTGGTTCCAGATCAATAAAAACACTTTTTCGTAATTATTAAATTTTTCATTTCCGAAACACATTTATTTTATGAAAACTGGGTGACATTAGTCAGCGTTGACTTGTTGAAGAATACAAATGTACTTCAAGGCAGCAAAATCGTTTTTGCTAGTTATATTTTTTGGAAATATAATGGCAGTAAGGATACGACAAAATCAATGATCTTACACTCCAAAGTTGCAGAGTTCTTTGTTTTTACCCCCAGAACGCCGCTAAGTTGGAGTTTACAAATATTAAATGTCATGCAAAGGACACTGCATTTTTAGACTTCGAGTACTGTTTCATAAAATCCGTCAATCGGACCTATAAGTACATATCACTCAAGGCCAATATGCACGAAATACCCATTACAAACGCATCGGTATGTACCATAAAATGCTAACAGAATGCTGTTCACTAAGCGTGTAAATTCATTTAGGCAAAACTTCAAATTTTGCGGAGATTTCGCTCCTACATGCCCATAACCATAGCCGCCAGCATCGATATTTGCAAGTTCATGGCATACAAGAAGGACTTGGCGAACCCAATGCTCAGGCTTTTCGAGGAAATTACCACAAATTACACAAATACCAACCATAAATGTCCCTATGATGTGGGTTAATGTGCATTGTCAAAATGATTATTGCTAAATGTTATACAACCATATTTTTTAGCACGACCTTATCGTAGATAAGCTTCCCTCCCGATTTCTGAGTGAGCACTTCACCAATATCCTTCCACTTCCACCGGGCGAATACAGTTTTAACAGCAAATGGCTCAGCAAAAACATCGAACGGGCCACTATCTGCATATATATCACTATATCATAATCAAATCAGCGATTTAAAATTTCTCAAATTACTTATCAATTCTATGTTATTTATCAGTTAATATAATTTCGTTTCTCTGCCTCTTCCTTGCCGATTTAATTATGTCAAAAGCGCTAGCATAATTGCATATTGTGTTCTAAAAACCAGCTTCCTAGAGCCAGTCAGTTTTGTGAGTCCAAAGCGACGAGACATACTAAGAATCGGATACGGAGAACCATGAAGACGACTTCGCTGCTAATTTTTGTGGTAAAATCAAAGACCGAGAATTGGCATATCACATAACTCGTTTTCCAAACGATTACGTCAAGCGCTTAACCCTGATAGGTGATGATGATCGCAGTGGCACTGAGCTCGGCTTGGGCATGTGCCGATGAGGGTTACCTTTATGACCAGCCATCGGCTGAGCAACTGCAGGAAATCCAGCTGATAGCGCCCCCCGGGAAGCAGCGCTCGAAGCCACCTGTCTACCCAGTGCATCCCTTCCAAGCTTGCGGAAACGCTGCCCGGACCACCTACCATGCCAATCGCCCCCAGCCGCGTCGCACTTACAAGCACCAGGAAGTCCAGGTGGACAGCTCGTTCTTTGAGCCCTCGCCGGATCGGATCGAGGAACTCAAGCGGATTCTCTTGGATCGGCAATGAAGTGTGGTGTACTTAGTTGTTAAATACTTGTGTACTTAGTTAAATAAAAGGCTGCTTATGTTTAAGTGAAGTGCTTATGCTACATAGCACATTCCCCTAATGGTATTACTGATTGCTAAATACACACATAAAAACAAAACATTTTCGGTCAACCAAGGTAATTAATTTCGTAACTGCCTCATGGCCTTGGCAATTTTGTCTCCTATACGTTAATTTAATCAGTCGATATCTAGGTAACTCCACGCTTTCAAATTTAATTTTCTGCTTTATGTTTTTATGTATATACAGTTTTGATATGCATCCATGCAATTCAATTCAAATGAATCCAGTTACTTTGCTAAAAACATCCAGAATCTCATCCCTGTTTTTACTCGCCTAATTTGGTCTGCTTTCGGTGATAAAGTGAATGTTAATGGATTTTGGCCAATTATATAAAATTAGGTGGCATCAGCAAAAAGTGGCTTGAACAGCATTCCGATCAAAATGACGAAAATTCGATTGCAGTTAACAATAAATAAATAATTTATTTGTGAGCTTAAACCAACGGAAAACAACAACATAAACATACACATATACAGTCGATTGAGATGGGCACTGAGTCCATCTAGGCATCGTAGTTATACTTCTTGTTATCTCCAGGATTCAAGCTGTACAGATCGTAGTCGAACTGGTCCCACTCCTGGTAATCGGCTCCCCTGGGCTGGGTGCTGCCCTTCTTCAGCTTGAGCAGGGCCTTCTTCTCCCGGTTGATGTCCACGTGGGGTATCTGCTGGCGGGCACGTTTCTCCTCGGGCGTCAGGGGCTGAGGTGCCCTCACTGGAGTGTGACTCAAGAACTGCGACTCCTCCATTCCGAGATCGGAGTCGGGACTCACTTGGGCATCGTAGAAGTCGGCAAAGTTCTGCAGCTGCATGGACTCCGCGGGATGGTGATCGTAGTAGTCGGGCATGATGAGGTTGTAGTTCCCAGTGAGGGTCATCGGTTCCTGTGGCCTGGGTGCATAGGCGAAGCTGGGGGAGCTGGCGGAGGTTCCCAGGTCCTTGGTCCGACTGTATCGAGGAAGGGCTTCCGAGATGCCGGAGAGCACAGCCAAAGTGCAGCTCATCACGATCTGAATTACAGGAACATTAAAGGAACATTAAAACCATATTAGGGCCCTCAAATGTTCATTTTGTTGTATTTATTAGATAGCTTTCATTGCCGTTTTATAATTGAAATATAATGGAAAAACATTTTTTCTATTGGACCCACAAAAACTGAATGCCGATTTATTGGTAGTATATTATTTTTGGGGAGACAACCTAAAGCAATTATTTCTTATTCCTTTTGATACTAATTTGCAAATGGAATAAAAGATATAACATTTTTGTTTACCCTAATTTGAATATAAAGATTCGGCAGTTCAATGAAGATGCTTACCACTTGTGTATTGTACTTGAAAGCCATTGGAATTGAACGAGTTTTGGCGCAAGAAAAGAGTTTATATAATTGAGTAAATTTTAATTTTAGCACTCTGTTGGTTGTTCACACTTGCTGTTCTTTATGTTCTTTATGTGATTTTGGCTGACGTCTGACTTTATTCCCCGCCAGTACGCTTAATTCGAGCTCTTAAACCAGTCTAATGTTCTGAGCCGAGCGATTTTGTATTTAAAGCAAAAGCCAGGCGAAAGCCGAAAGAATTTCATTTCGTTTGATTTGTTTTGTTTTGTTTTGTTGGCCAGCCTCGGCTTTATTGGCATGCAAATCCGGTTTCCAAACTTTGATTTCCAATTGAGCCGAGATGAATCTGAATCTGAATCTGAATCTGATGCTGATGGCGATGTTGAGATTGAGATTGAGATTCCGAGGTTCGCGGAGTGAGTGACACACGTTGAGGCGAGGAGCACAGGTCAGGAACACCAGAGGGAAGCCGGAGATCGGGTTTGTGGCGTCAGGAACTTAACACAAAAGAAATGCAAATCTGGCCGGGATGCTCTCGACTATGAGGCGCACGCGTTGACACACATTTGATGGGATGGATGATTCATGGAATGTGCACGGCAATTAATCCAAAGTATACGTAATAAAAATATTAATTGCACTCGCTTTGTACCACTGAACTTGGGCGCTTGTGTGTTCAGAGGTAATTAATGCGGGGCGGGGATATGTTAATTAACAGATTACAAATTGGCACATCAATCACTGCTTTTTATTGCCTCGCATTGATCTGACATTTCAAATTTTGTCACCCAGCTGTCACGTCAAGTACTGATAATCCTGCGTCGGTTCAATAACATCTCGTCACATCCCATCGGGAAAATCCCAGGCACTGCCTTTTGAAAGCTGAACCTCGGTTTCGAGATCGTATCTTAATGCAAACTGGTAGCTCTCCTCAGTCTGCACATAAAACAAAAAGAAATTAGAACACACTTTGAAGCTCTTTTAATTGGCTTTTTACGATCAATTAAGATAAGAGTCAGGAAAATCTAGTCCATGCTTGAGCTTTCAAGCGATAAGCTCGTTCACTTGATACCCAGTATTTACATTTCAAATTTAGATTTTACATTTCCAGACGAGATATGATGAGTTGAATCAACTTTTGGGATTCACTTAGCTTTATTACTTGACAAATTCTGTTGTAATATGACAAATAAATGAAAGACGCCTAATTAATGCTAATGTTTCGCGCATGAGAGAGTATTTATTATATATTTAATATATCTAATAAATCAATCTAAGTATCGATACAATTTAAAACCCAATAAAATGTTTTAAATTACACATGACTCAGTTTTAGTAGTTCCTGTTTACCTAGACTATTTTTAAATAATGTGAGTAAGCGTAGGTGAAATTTTCATTTCTATTCTTGTACATTTTATATCCATAAATGAATAATGTTAAGCGACTTCTGGGAATAAATAAAGATCCGATATAAAGCGAACTTCACCAAAAATGACGAAATCAGAGACAAATCGTTCTACATATTTTAGGCTTAGATGGGATGGTCGACGGGGTTTAACCACAGTATGTTTACAGTTGTTGGCAGACAACATCGGTGTTTTTTCCCGCAGTTCAATAATAAATTAGCGGGTTCCGATATTTTTATTTTTGGTGGGAATGTCAAGCGCACACGTTCGTGACTCTAGAAAGAGAGGGAACCGTCGGGCCAGAAAGAGACAGCAGGCCACCCCCTCGATCAAAACGAAGGCATAAATAAGTTTTAGTGTCTCGGGGAAAACCGCATTTCTCGCATTTTTTTTGGAGGATATATTTGATGCCCTCGGCAAAGTCAGAGCTCATTTAGCTTTGTTTTAAGCACTTACATTTCGATTCGTTTAATTTGCTTGCGATTTTTGTTTTGCATATGCATAATCACAACGTTTTTCGTTTGTTTTTGTTTTTAACATTTTATTTTTGCTGTTGTAGATTGGCCCGTTTTTAATTCTGTATTTTTATACCCGTTACTCGTAGAGAAAAAGGGTATACTAGATTCGTTGAAAAGTATGTGACAGGCATACCTCTACATGTTTGTAAAGCAATTCTCTAAAAATCTGCACTAAAATTTGAAAATTCATTTTTCTTAAATTTGTTGTAATTTTTTTGGTAAAAAATAATCAGTATTTGTTCGATAGCAACATAGTTGTCCAAATCTAGAATGTCATACCCCGTTGAATTTGTAACAAAATTCCCTATCGACCTGTATTCAAAAATAAAAATTATAATTTTTTGCCATTTTTCGCAAAAAAAAATATAAATTTTCCCTTATAAAAAATGCAAAAATTTGGTCAAATTCGTTTTTTTGAAAATCATAAAAATAGTGATAGGGGTAGTAAGCTATGTTTATTGGCTGTACAAAACAGCCTTCATTTTAGGTGTGCCATCTTTTTCGGCCAAGTTATGAAAAAAGTTCGATTGAAAATATCCTATTTTTTAAATGTTTATTTTGTGATTTTTTGTTAAAAAATAATCAGTGTTTGTTCGATAGCAATAAACATAGTTGTCCAAATCTAGAATGTCATACCCCGTTGAATTCGTAACAAAATTCCCTATCGACCTGTATTCAAAAATAAAAATTATAATTTTTTGCCATTTTTCGCAAATTTCGATGATGGTACCCCTTATAAAAAATGCGAAAATGTGGTCAAATTCGTTTTTTCGAAAATCATAAAAATAGTGATAGGGGTAGTAAGCTATGTTTATTGGCTGTACAAAACAGCCTTCATTTTAGATGTGCCATCTTTTTTGGCCAAGTTATGAAGAAAAGCCCGATTGAAAATATCCGATTTTTTAAATGTTTATTTTGTGGTATTTTTGGTAAAAAATAATCCGTATTTGTTCGATAGCAATAAACATAGTTGTCCAAATCTAGAATGTCATACCCCGTTGAATTCGTAACAAAATTCCCTATCGACCTGTATTCAAAAATAAAAATTATAATTTTTTGCCATTTTTCGCAAATTTTGATGATGGTACCCCTTATAAAAAATGCGAAAATGTGGTCAAATTCGTTTTTTCGAAAATCATAAAAATAGTGATAGGGGTAGTAAGCTATGTTTATTGGCTGTACAAAACAGCCTTCATTTTAGATGTGCCATCTTTTTTGGCCAAGTTATGAAGAAAAGCCCGATTGAAAATATCCGATTTTTTAAATGTTTATTTTGTGATATTTTTGGTAAAAAATAATCCGTATTTGTTCGATAGCAATAAACATAGTTGTCCAAATCTAGAATGTCATACCCCGTTGAATTCGTAACAAAATTCCCTATCGACCTGTATTCAAAAATAAAAATTATAATTTTTTGCCATTTTTCGCAAATTTTGATGATGGTACCCCTTATAAAAAATGCAAAAATTTGGTCAAATTCGTTTTTTCGAAAATCATAAAAATAGTGATAGGGGTAGTAAGCTATGTTTATTGGCTGTACAAAACAGCCTTCATTTTAGCTGTGCCATCTTTTTTGGCCAAGTTATGAAGAAAAGCCCGATTGAAAATATCCGATTTTTTAAATGTTTATTTTGTG